ATTTAATAGAATTATAACGATAGTATTTAAATATTTTTAGCGTATGTTAAAAAAATCATTATGCTTGTAAATAATTATATGTCTTTTATTTATAATATAATTTATAAAAAAATATTACTTCTTTTTTTATATAAATATATAATTCATTCTTTGTATGTATATTAAACTATAAGCAATATACATTTACTTATAGGTAAAAAAGTATGAATGTAAGATTTATAAAATATATTTATATATTTAATTGATAAAAATGAACATTTATTAATAATATCCATTTATTTCAAATATAAACATGGGTGTAAAAGACATATAAATATTTATTGTGAAAAAAATATTGAATATATTATTATATATATTTCCTACAGTATTATATTAATTAATTTATTATTTTAGTATTATATATATATCAATTATACAAAATATAATTTTTATAATTTTTTATTTCTATATAATTTCAGAGTTATATATTTTTTCTCTTCATATTATAGAATAATATTAATAATTTCTTGCCATATATATAGTGTAATATAATATCATATTTTTTATTATGTAGGAAGGAACATATAAAAACATAATTTAAAAAAAACACTTTAAAATTTATTCACTGTATATTAAAATATATTTTATAAAAGTTTAGTATGTGGTAGTATAGTTCTACATACAAGCATTTATAATTACAAATATATTAATTATATTGTGTATAATTTATGTAAAATAGCATAATATTTCCCACATTAGAAATAGAAAAGTTAAGCTCTTACTATTAATATTAATTATAATTTATGTTAAGTAATTTGAAAATGGTGTTATTTACATAATCGTAGGAAAAAATGCGTTTTTTTAAATGTTGCTATTATTTTTTATATTCATAATATTTTTTTTTTTAGTTCTAATTTAATGGTCTATATCCCACCTGTATGAAGGAATATAATGAATATACAAAATGTGAATCAAGACTTAATGCTTCTAAACATTTTAGTGCGTGTAGAAATATTCTAACATATTCCATCGGAAGCTCAAAAGATGGAAACTTTATAGTATATCGCAAAAAGCTTATACACTATTTATACTATATAAGAAATATAAAAGAATCACACGTAAAACCAAGTTGTAATTATTTAAACTATATGCTAAAACTTATACTAAAAACTATTATATGCACTAACAAAAACTCCAAAATTTTTGACTATCATATTATCGAAGAAATCGAAAAAATTAATAATAAGTAATTTTGTAATGTATGCATTTTTGATATTAATGAAAACTATGATAAATTATTTTCCGTACTGAAGGATCTGAATGAATTATATCAAATGTTTTCACTTGGCAATACATGTCCTTCTGATGGAGACTGTTATAGGAAGTACAGGGAACTGTGTGATATATATGGAAAAGTAGATAACCAGAGTCTTCTCATATTGCTAGAAAAATTTTAAAAAGAAAATATGATATATTTGATGGACGCTCAAGAGCTGAAATTTCTTGTATATTCATCAAAAGCTCGTATAATTATTATAACATTAATTATTATACCTTTACAGCACTGATGATAACATTCTACATGTATAAGTTTAAATATAATGTTGACTAATTTGTTATATAATTTCCTTAAACTTTTGATTACAAGTAATTATATAAAAATTACATAAAATACATAGTACATATATATATCAAAATTTTCCTATATCATCAATATACTCTATATGGTTCATATTGACAACCAATAGTATAAAAGTTAAGGAGAATATGGAATAAAAAAAATAAAGATCATATCAACATAATGAATTTAACAGAATTCACATACAATAATTTGATTAATAATAAGTAACAAATAAAATGTACTTCCATAGCCTACACATGAAGGACTTATGACTACTACAGAAGAATACAGCATAGTATCATTTAAATAATAAAATATAAGAATGATCCTTTTTACACAAAGGAAAAAAATGGAAGAAAATATTATAAAACATTTATAAATATTTCATAATACATGATTATAAATAAATTGTATATTTTTAAATGTTTCCATATAATACACAAATGTTGTAGTGATCATTGTGATGTGCAATCATAAAATAATGTATAAACATAGTTATCAATTATTATTACTACTCATCTAAGAATAGTCATATAAAAATATGAAGTACGAACTTTGTTCGCATGATTTCACTTTTAAAATGCAAAAATTTTTGTTACTTATAATTAAAAGAAGAAATATTATTATACATGTTATAAACAAAATAAAATGTATGTTTACTGACACAATTTATATGTAACATATTAGAGTATATATATAATTAATTCTCTCAAAAAGAATTATAATTTTTATGATTTATTTTTTAAATAACACACTATACCTTCATTGGAATATATACTTAACAATCATAGAAAATTCTGATAAATCTACAAATAAATAAATTTTGGTATATTTATATATTAAAACTTAAAAATTATTAAAATATTCCCATAATATTTAGGTAAATTACATATTTATATGTTGTATGTTCTAATTTAAAGTAATGAAAGGCATACATAGAAAAGTCAAAATAAACTAGTTATGTCATATTTTACATATAATACATGCTTTAGATAATATTTGTAATCGTTTTATTATGTTCACAAAATAATATTAGCAGATTACTTTATTCAATGTATGTATTATTTATAGTAATAAGAAATATTGTTAAACTTATATTTTTTATACCTATTTTTATTATTAATCTAAGAATATGAAACAAATTATAGGACAAAACTAAAAATATCTATATATGTTATTATAATACTTATAATTTAATATAACTGCATAGAGTAAATAACAAATAAGTATGAATATCGATAAGAGAATTTATATGAAAATAATGCGTCTTAAATATATATAATATTGACAATATATAGATTTTAGTATTATAGGATTATCGGTGCAATAAACAAATGTTATATATCAGAATAGAATAACTATGTATAATGTATAGAAAAAATGATTCTTCTTTTTTGCATTAAATATATCACAGTAACGAAAAACCACTTTTGATCAATTTTTTACAATAAAATATGACTTAAATGTATTTAATAATAATTATACATATATTAATCTAATGAATAACAATAAATATCCACAATACGATAAATAAAAATAGTATATATTAATTAAACATATATTTTTTAATTTTTTTATAGAATATTCTATCTCATGCAACTTGATAAATGTCTATATCTTTAAAAAAATAGTATTACATAATAATCATACTTATATATATATATATATCTTTTGACTAATATATGTATACGTTTTAATAGTAGTAAATATTTTTCATCATATATTTATTAAAGCACTATATTTCTTTATAATTTGCACCATATTTTTATAGATTCACAAAATTATAGTTTATTTCTATTTTAATAAATTTATTTATAATTATAACTAACATTAAATGATTAAATATTATGTATATTATTTTTTGTGTATACTTTTATTTTAATAAAAAAGGCAATAATAACTATAATAATTTTATTTTATTTATAGATAACTATATTTATGTGCAATATGAATAGATTATATCAATTAGAAGAATGATATTTAAATTTTTTATTTTAGCATTTCTTTAAAATATATTCATTTTTTATATATAGATAGTGATGTAAAATTAGGAAACGTATATATACATTGTACATTGTAGTAAATATGAATTTATACGATAAGAAAAATTATAAAGTTATATAATCTTTTATATTTATAATTAATATGAGTGTATTTGTACTTTTTTTATATTATTCTCACAATGATATGTAAAAAATCCTTGTGTGTAACAACATGCTATTTATCCTTGTGTAATTAATTAAATGATTTATATAAAAATAACTAATTAGCGTAATTTTATTTCCTAACAAGCAAAGGTTCCAAATTTTATAAATAAATGATATTAAATTAAAAGAAAAGGATATTTATATTTACATTATACATCATATATTTATAAATATATTGAATTGCTTTATATAGGTCCTAATTATACTTATAATTATTAGATACATTATCAGTTGTTTTATTTTTGTTTAATATATATAATGTGCATATTTAGATAAACAATTACTTAAATTTATAATGCTTCAAATTAATTTAATATTTTAAATAACTGTGGAAAAATATATTATAATGCTTTACAGATATTATGTAAATAAAAAAAAATTTGTAGATAAATTAAAAATAATATAGAATATTAACTATATTTAATACAATTTTTTTAAATTCTTTTTCAGTAAAGCGATAACATATATGGTATAATATATTGTATTTCTTATTTTTATTAATATAATTTATACTGAACTAAACAAAAGTATTTGAAACATTTTAAAAAATAATATAATAAATTTTACGTTTTATACATCTTATAGTTAATAATAAAAACTAATAAATATATTACATATGATAAAGAAAGTGTACAATATATTTTCTGTATAAATATAAGCACCCTCCAAAGCGTTGAATTATTCATGTGTGAAATTATCATTAAAATGTAAATATAATGAAAGTAAAATTTAGCACTTTTCAAATTTATAGTAATTTTTTTAGGAACAATCATCAAACTGTGTTTTTTAATATTACATATTTTCATCCAATATATATATGTCCAATAAATAATAGAAGATGTCATTTTGTAAGGTAACTGATTTATATTTTATGGGGAAAAATTATAAATAAAGTTAAATATATAAGTTATTTAATGTAAATTCCTCTTATATATAATTCATTAATTTTTGTATTTATACATTTTGTCTCTTTTATTATTTAATTCTCTATAATATGTTCTTTTTATTTTTTTTCATTCATTCTTATTTTATATGTATATGTTCTTAAAATATTATGATTAACAAATGTACTGTTTTATATATCATAAAAATTTTTACAAGTTTGAACACAATTATTTTTTAAAAAATATTTTTTCTACTTCATATATATTTTTATTAAATTGTAATAATTATATATTTAATTATAAAAAAAATTAATCTGAATGATATCCTATATAATGTTCATCTCTAATGTTGTAATGCGGATTATGTATTTCTTGTGCATAATCAAATGCTATATTAAACTCAGAATTTATGTTGCTTCTATTATAGTTTTTACTAGCAAATTTATTATGGATCAATATTCCTAAAGGTGTAAACTTTGGTATAAATGAATATTATATAAAATACTCAAGACATTTAATTATTGTTGATAGTTATATACGGAATGAAAGTTATAAAAAAAATATATACAATTTATGTGAATTCATGATCTTCTTATTTACTTTATGTAAAAAGACATAAGTCATAGATATAGCAACGATTCCAAGAAGTATACCACCTGCATTTTTCAAATGGCTAAAACTATTAGATATTGACTGTAAATCCTTAAGAGTATGTGTTCCTTCTGTTGACAAACCAGGAGACTGCCTTTCTTGTTCAGATATGTTTCTTTCCGATGATACACCCTGGTGTGTTTTTATTCTTTGACTTTCTTCTAATAACTTCTTCTTCTTTACTTCTTTAACACATTTAAACTTAAGTAAAAGTTCATTAGGATCACAAGCTTTATATTTAGTTTTAAATTCATGGCAGAAATCTGTTTGATCTGAGAAACATTTACTGCCAAAATATTCATATAATGAAACTTTGTTTCTAATATATTTACAATACTCATCGGCGTTTGGTATTATACTAGCCATATTATCAAGGTAAACATAATCAACATAGTAATCATACAATGCCTTCCTCATTCTCCAGTCACGTATAGTGACAACGTTAATAAGAGGGTTACACGTTTGATGATGATCATTATTTAATTCATTTGCAATGTACGTATTCCATATTAATGAAATGTCCAAAAAAACATTTTTCATATAAGAAGAATCACTAAGAAACCCAATGGCACTTAATTTAGTGGCTACCCAATAATTTAAAAGTCGGCATATATCATAGACATTGGAATTACTTCTTAATTCTTCATTACTACTTAAATATTTTAAAATCTTTGCACAAACATTTTTAACAGCGGACATATTTTTATGACTTTTTAAGGGTTCGCAATATGCATAGTACTCATTTAAACCTGTTAAATTATTTAATCTTTCATAGAAAATTTCTGAAGTTGAATTTCCTCCCAATGATACAGCTAATTGCTAAAGAAAAGACACAAAGTAATGGAATCTTAAATATATTAGTTATAAAATTTAATTAAAATATTATTGGCAAGAGAGAAAAATTTTATGAATGCAATATATAAAAATATTATAATTAATTAACACTACATCGAATTCTCCCCACGTTTCTTCTATAAGCACCATGATTTCAAATGAATAAAGTTATCATTTTTTTAAGTCATTTGATATTTACAAAAAAAAAGAACCAGTATTAAGGAAAAAATACTTTTACTAACTAAAATATTTATACGTACTGTATATGTTATAATTCATTGATTTTTCTTAGTATCCCAATAACTAAATAACATATGCTACATATATTTTTTTTTACATAATCATAATAAATTTTTTTTGTATAAATTATATTAAAACTATAAATAATGTTATTTTCATTGTTAATAAATCAAAAGTGAATTAAATAATAATGTGTTTTGATATGAATATGCATAAAAACGGGAAAATTTTATTGACATTAGTTTGTATATATTAATGCTACATTTTTAATATATAATATACGAATGAAATAAATAAAAATATATATGAAAGTGAAATGAGGAAAATATATAGTTAATCAATGCTTATATTAAATTGTTAATGAAAATATATATTATAACGATTAATTAGTATTTTTATTATGATTTTATATGCTTAAAATATATATAAAGTGATTGATTTATATATTTTAGCATACTTGATATTGATATTATTCTATCACAGTTATATGCATAAATTTTTATAATTTTCTAAGAATATAACTAAGCATTGTATAAAATATTCAAAAATTAAACATTTACTCAGGATGTTAGACGTTTAATCGGGTAAACATGAATTGTTCAACTTTCAGCTATCAGTTTTTAAATTTATAAAATATCTAAATATCAATGTATGATATTATAAATATAATTATAGAGAAATGAATAAGTAAACATTATAACACCTAAATGCTTTTTATTATATAATATAAAATGAGATTATTTTTTTACGTATTAATAAATGTCTACTTTTCAGTTTTTATGACTTATTCATCCATTGCAGGTATAAAATATAATAACTTTTACTTTTTATAATATAATTCAGTTAACAATGGATTTTTTTAATTTACCCTTTTTATTTATATGAATAATATATGCATCCTACATAGAGTACATAAGAATGAACTAATGATATTTCAACATTAATGTGGTTATATTATGGTATGTAACTCGGTAATATTAATGCACATATATATAAAACCACGTACTTTTGTATGATAATTGAAAATTTTACAAGAATTGTGGTAATGTTATTTTAATATAAACAAGTAATTAATTTGAAACTAATATATAGCGAAATGTATAATATTTTCATACATTGTTTATATTTATAAAGGTTTATAATATATTATTTTTACTGCATATATTTAATAAAAGTTTAAGAGCATATGAAATATATATAATATATTTATGAATATAATTATGTTCCTTTTTTTTCTGTCTATTTTGGTGTACTCGAAAATAAAGTTCCTTTTGCATTTAATTAATATTTTTCTATTCTAAAACATATATTGATATATTTAACTAACTAATATTAATTATATCTTGCATAATTATTGGTAAAAAATGTGATTTTCATTTAATATCAACTGAATAAATGTTTACAATTTTTTATTTGTGTATACTAATGAATATTGGTAGGGATGTTAACAAAAACATATAAAAAATTATATATATATTTATACGTAAATAATCATTAAAAATTCAAACGTATAAGGAGACAGCAAAAGTATTGTTATATATAATAACATATTAAACATAAATACAAGTGAATAATATATTTTTATTTGTTATGTTTATCAATTCATATTTAAAAAAAAAATAAAGAAAATTAACTGCACATTTTTATTAATATAAATATGACGTATATTTTTTTGAAGGAATTGTGTAAAAAAAATGAAAATCTTTCATCCTATTTATAATAAATCAATTCTTTTTTTATGTTTGAAAACTTATTAATATATACTTCTATGCATATTATTTTTATATTCATTATCACTTATATTATAATAATGATTTAAATTTCCAAATAGATGATATATTTTCTCTATTGTAACATATGCTGTAACAATAATTTATATTTGCACTTTCACATATTTCTTAGTCTAAAAATTATTCATTTTTATATAAATGCAAAAGATGAATCATTTATATGCACAGAATGATATGCAAATATTAGTTGTTGTTCTTTATTTTACGCACTTACTCTCTAATTAATAATTTCTAATTTTTTTTTAACTTTGTTTGTTATTATTATTTCTATTCATCACATACATATAGATAATTATAAAATTACATATTGTCTATATATAAGATATATTTTTCCTAATATACTAGCTTCAAAATTTTCCCCTATTTCCATTTATGAAACAACTATACATAGAACTATTTTTATGTGGCTTAGAATAATTTTTTTTAAAATAAGTTGCTGTTTTAAGAATTTTATGAGACAATAATAATATGCTAGATGATAACACAGATATAAATCTCTTTTGGGGTAATTTATATTAATATATTCTAAATCTTGTGTTGATAGCTATAATGTAAATTTTTTATAAAATTGAGAGATTATCATATTTTTACTTTAATTTTATTTATTTAAATTGGAATCATCCGAAGAAACTATAATACAAAGAGAAAATACAATATTTATGTAATTATTTCATAGTTAATTTATTTTAATAATTACATTATTATAATTGCTTCAGAGAATATATATATTTGTAAGTGTAATTTTTTATATACCTTGAACAACAGTGAAGCTACAAAAGAAATTTCCAGTTTTAAAAAAAATGACAGCAATATAGTGTTTTGACAACACTGTTGATGAAATTTCGTAAAGGAAAACCTCCTTTAATTGCATGAAATTAACATAATCCCTCGAAATTCTACGCAAATCCACATTTAATTAAAAAATATCTAGTATCTTTAGATGTTTCTTCTTTATAATGAATGCTTGTGGTGTATCAGTTTTCATTTATCATCTCTACATTTTGTTTTATATAAAGAATATTTGTGATGACTTTTTCAAAAATTTTGTATACACCAGTATTTAGTAATCATGTTTCAGTTTTTGACAAAAATTGTTGTCACTTGTGAAAAAAAAACATATTGTGCTTTTTATGATACATAAGACATCTCAATTATATACAGAGTCATAGAGATATTGTTCATGGTTTAGGATTAATATTAGTTTATGGTATTATTTAGTTTAGGGTTAATGTCAAATGAATTATTATATGTGTTTAAATGTTTGTGTGTATATTTATACTCATTGTTCAGATTTAGGTTGCTGTATTTTGGGTGAATTTTAGAATATATAATTATTGGTATATATTCAGTTTACACTTATTAGTGTGTATATTTTATTTATTTGTTTATTACAAAATTAGTTAATTTTTCTTTTTTATATAAAATTCATAAATATTCATATACAAAATAATCTTAAAGAGAAATGTAAGGAAAATAATATTAAATGAAATTGATATAATATAATTCAATATATTTATACTTTTATTAATATTTCTCACACGTTATTTATATACGTATTGCATGATGTTGTGTTTTCTTATTGATATTGACTATAGCCTGTTGTTCTAACATACTGTCTTCTATAATGAAAATATTTATTATATTGTAATAATTAATTTATTTTAATAATTTTAAATTTTATTTTATTATTAATGGATATATTTTCATATCCATTGTGCATATACTATATAATAAAATACATTATATTTTAATTTTCCTTAAAGGGACTATGGTTTTTCGTATATAATCATAATTATAAAAAAGAATTATTGTTATTTTTTTATTGTAAATATTAATTATAATGCAATAGAAATAAATTTATATTTTTGATATAATAACATAATTTATAATTAGGTTTTATTAATTTATTTATTAAATAAATTAATAAAATTTTATGATTTAGTAGAGCATTAAATAATTTTTTATAGGATTCATTTTTATGAATGATAAATAAGATTTACACTTAATTATTAGAATTTACTTATATCATATATTCAAAAGGTGTACTTTTAATTAATACTACTTTTGAATTAATTAAAAATTCATGAAAATAACTTATTATCCCTATATAAGTAATATTGATTATATTTTGAATTATGAAATAGTAATAAAATTTCTAATATGTGTGTTATTTTTTATTGATATAATGTAACATATGCGTTATATATATGTATTTTTGTTAATAAACATTTATTCAGTTGGGTAATAATCAGAAAATATAATTTTAATTGTATTAAAACGTAATAATATGATAAAATTGATATACATATCAAAAATATACTATAGAAATAAATGGTAATATGCTCCTCAAAGAAAAACTGATGTAAATTCATTATTATCAGCATGCATTATTTGTCTTTTTATGCGCTTATAGTTTTATTAAAGTTTTTTATAATATTATAGAATTATTAACCATTATTAATAAACAAAACATTACTATAAGAATGGTGTATATAACAAATATTTTGGGGAATGAATCTCATATATATACAATGCTATGAACAAAATTATTATAAAATATGTTCTTTTGAGTCCTAAATCTAAGAATAATGTATTTCCAAATAAATAATAAAAACACATACATACAAAAAAATATATATTAATAGATATATACACATTAAAAATAATATAATTTTTTATATCATTTGCATACTACGTGCAGTTTATTTTGGATAAGGATAAATAAAAATTATATTATTAATATAATTATATCAATTATTGTAATATAACGCTAAAGAATAATCCTGACCCTGAACCAAATATTATGTGCATAATAAAAATTTTATGTTTTTTTGTTTTCTATAATTTTTAAAGTAAAATTTATTATAAAAACAAAATATTATCCTTAATATATTTAAATATGTAGAATGCTAAAATTTTGTTATTTTTAATGACATTCTTAATAAGGTATATATTTGTATTTGACGCTCTTAATTTTTAAATGAATTATTTATGAAAAAACAGGAAAATAAATTCATAAAACTTTATTTTTTATATTATAAGAGAAATTATAATTAAAATTCATAATACATTGTTTAATTTTTTAATTATATAATGATATGCACATATTAGATATTTCTT